GTCCAACTTTTAACCCATCCATAATACTCAAACCAGGTAGCTTTGTTAGAAATTCCCAGAACAAGTACCAACACTTTATTAATTGCACAGGCAGGAAACAGTAAAGTTACTTGAAAGTGGCTGTTATGATTTTGTGACTGTACATAGATCTTGCAAAATGTTATTGGTAATTTGCATCCTGTAGCCCACATAAACACTGCGAGAATAGCATGGTCATTGTTACGCTTTATAGCTGTTGTGGAAAATGTCTTAACCTGCATTCATGATGGTAGTGCCCATCCTACTCCCATGCCTTTTTATACAGTTGTGGTAAGATTGTTATGAAATCCTTTTGTCAGTCATGTTCCAGCTAACTTACCTATGTATAGAATTTATATATTAAACCCCCCCTAATTTATACTGTGTTTTAACAGTTTGCCTGAACTGTCTATGGTTTCTAAATTTTGTAATGTGAGTGTCAAATAAGAACAATTAAAAAAAAAAAAAAGGCTCATCTGTGTGGATTTTTTCTTTGGTTTTATATGTAGGAAAGATTTCTTCAGGATAGGCTGTGAAGAAACTCACTTTGCGTTGAAAGAGATGTCCCTGACTCTGCACAACAATTAATGAATATGTGTGTAGGAAGAAACCTGTGATTTCTGCTCTTTCTCATTTCCACTTTACTGCTTCTTTCTCCATCCTCACACATGCAGTTCAAGCATGTGCACTGCGAGGAAAGGAGACAGATTCACAGTTCCCATAATAAAGTGTTTTCCCAAATAGGAGCTGTAGAATGGAAACTTCTTAATAATAGGAGGAAAGAGCTGAGACTGGGTCTGAGTATTTTTAGTTTGTTTTTATAAAACTCTGCGGTAAAACTGATGTTTAAATGTGTTTTTTGAATATTTGTGTTGCTGACGGCAATACAAATAAGAGGTGCTACTGAGATGAGGGCCCCATTTCAGCAACAATGTACAGCAAGAGACATCGTTGGTTCAAGCAGCTTAAAACGCTTTTAAATAAAGAAGAAAGAGCCTCAGAGATGAAACTGGTGTAGACAGAAATGGTGGAGTTCCTTGATGTAACATTTGGCACCTGCACCACGATGGTTCTGTGAGTGTGTAACTGCTGGTGCTGCCTGCTGTCACCAAGGGAGAAGGGCTCACTGTGAGTGGTGGCACTGACTCCAGAGCCTGTGGAAGTGGATGTGCAACTCCTTTCTCAGCAGTGTTCTTACTCACAGTGCCAGAGCTCCTCTTGCCAAAAGGAACTGTTGAGTCGTCTGCCTGAATTTCCTTCAGACTGTGGCTTCCCCAGGCTTCCCCATGTGAAGTCCCCAATCCTCTATTAGGCTAAAACATTTCAATCCTCAGGAGGCCCAGCTGTGCCACAGAGAGTGAGAGAAGTCCAAGTTTCAACCACCGCTGTGAGCTTTTCAGTTACAGGGAGTGGCTCGGCTCAGCTCAGCCCAAGGGGGTCCCAGCTGGCCGTGTGTCACCAAAGTGAAAGCCAGGCTGCCCGCTGGACGGAACACTCCCTGCTCCGGGTGAGCTGCCATCGCCCTCAGCACAGCCCAGTCTGCCACTGGCCACAGCTCAGGTGTTACCTGGCCAAAACTTCTCCCCACCAGGGAATGAACACAAGTGCCCACACTCACACAAAGTTTCTGGGTCACTGCTTTTCTAAGAAAAATTCTAATAACTCCTAAAGAAGGAAAATGTGTCCCTAAGCCATAGCCATACTTTGTTCTTTTTTACCAGGCTGAGTATATTTGCGTTTTTTCTATTCTACTGCATAATCGAAAAAGAATAATTTTTAAAAATCTATTTTAAAATTTTTCTTTATACAAATAAACTCTCGTGGAATAGAAATGCAACTGTCAGTGGGTTCTCACTTTGCCTTTCAGCTGATCCACACATCCAAGCTTCTATTATCTCTTTGAATTTACATATGCCACAACAATCTGGGACACTGGCTCTCTTGATCAGTAGTTACAGTGATTTGTGAAATGAATAATATATTTTGCCTGATGTATCTTAGAAATTCTCGTGGTGGGTTTTCCATCCCCATTCAGTTGAGTCCCTTATAAAGAGACATTATTGTCATTACTCTGTCCCTGAGCTCCCAAGCAAACATACAGCTGCTCCCACACAGTTGGGGGAACCTAAGAAAATCTCTCTGTCAGTGTAAAAATCAAACCATGGAACTGTAGAAATCCATAAACAACTAAAGGCAAAGCACAAATGCTAATCAGCCACCCTTTGACACCAGAGGGAGGAAAAACAAAACTAATACATCTGTAATTAAGAGAAAGCAAGTACAGCAGTGGAAGTACTGAAAGTCAGGAATTTTTGGATCTGCCTCTGAGTTTTTCTGAGGTTTTGGGCAAGGCAGACAACCCTTGCTTTAAATTTTGTATCCAAACAATGAGAAAACTCAATAAGATCTATATCTCCTGAAGAGCTGCTGTGAGGATGGATCACCTCCTGTGGCAAGGCATTTGAAAGAGGGACCTTACAAAATTGCCTTCTGAAGAAAATGGTTTGAATGTATCATTTCATACACTCACAAATGTGTCCCAGCAGCACAGCAACACTGAATTGTAATGTACTCTGCTGTACAGAGCAATCTAAAACATAGTTGCATTGTGTGCTGCTCACTCCACAAGCTGTGCACACATTTGGCATTGCAAGTCCAATTAAAGAAGGATCTCTCTCACATAAACAAAAGTAAATACCATAAGGGCTGACAGCAGAAGTGGCTGTAACTGCACTCAAATGAATTTCCTGAGTTTTGTAAAGACTGAATTTCTCTAGTTTGATTCTTCATTGTTCTTCACCTCTTTCCTGACTTTAAAATGGCCATTTCTAGAGGGACTGTCACTTTGTGCTACCTAGCCTGGTCATGGGCAGCAAATTTCTCCTGACTTTATCCTTCTCTGAAACACCTCCTAAATTCCAGCTGACATTCCTCCAGTGCCGTGCCTCCACTGCCACCTCCTGAACAGGAAGGAAAACTAACTTCTTCCAATTCTGCTTTTCTTTTGAATGTCTGCAGAGGTGGTTTTGAAAGCGCTTTGTTCAGCACACAGAGAGGAGCTGAAACTGCTTTGCTATCTGTCTAGAGAGGCTACATTCTATAAAATCCATTGTAAGGCTTTTACTTCAGAGGGAATTTCTTTATGTATGTTTGATATGAAGGTGGTTCAACGTTTATACACTGCTTTTCTTCTTCAAAAAGGTCCAATTATTAACTTCTGATAGGTTTATTCCTCTTTCAACTGTCAGCTGAAAGCCTGTGACTGAAACCAGTAAATCTTTACAGCTCCCATTCATTATGTTTTCACAATGCACAATAGCTATTTCTACCTTTTCTATTCCAGGTTGAAGATCCTTATTCCTAGCAGGAGGGAACCAAAATATCCTAGAACCAAAATTTTCCTGCTTCCAAAGGTAGCCAGTTCTGAGAATCTCTTCTGCATTAATTTCCTTTTATCCCACTAAATGTGATTTCCCAAAACTGCCCCTGAACTGCTACACCCTGTTAGACACCCTGTCATCCATTTGTAAGGGGAGAGGAAACTAGCAAATGTAAAACCCAGTAAATACATAGAAAAGGCGCAAAAGGCAAGAAAGGCAGAGAGCGTGATCCTGTCACACCCCATCCACTCTGCCCTGCCAGGAATACCAGCCACGGGTTTGTCATCAGCCTTCCAGCAAGAAACTTTCCATAAAATCCAGATGATCTTCCTAGCCACACCTCTTGGATTAAGAAATTAGAGAAAAATTGTAATTATGTGGTACAGTTGGCTAATATCAGGCACATGGATATTTTCTGCCTCTTCACAGGTGCATGTTCACTCTCTGTGAATTTAATTTCATGCTTCTATCTTTTTTCTGCTGCTTGAAGTCTGAGAGAATTCCTCAGACAGTATTAGTGGATGCTGGGAGAACTCTTAATGCTTGGCAGATATTACTGGTTTTTTATAAAAAATAGCCAATCATTTAGGTGCTAAATGAGAAACACTGAAGCAATGGCACCAAAGCCATATTTGGCATTAACAGATTTGGTATACAATGTGAATTATGAGGTTAAAAGATTTTTAAAATGCAGCAGGCAACAAACAGGTGTCAATGCTCTGTATCTTAAGTTTCTCTTCTATCTTAAATTTCTTTTTTTCTTTTTTTTAAAAAAAAAAAAAAAAAAAAAAAAAAAAAAAAAAAAAAGAAACAAGAAAAAAAACCAAGAAGAGGAACAGGATTTCCACTCTAGTGCAAACCAGGTTTAAATGGTTATCTTACTCTTGTTGGCAAATGAATTCTAATGACAATTTTAAAACCACAAATGCTCTCATTTTAGAACAATTTACTAATGTTATTGGGGACTAACATTAAAAGGACAACAGTACTCATTGAATTCTAAGTACATTATACTTTAGCTACTCTAGATTGTGTTTCAGCTGCAAAACCTTGCTGTATTAGAGGTAACACTTGCTAAAATTATTCTGGGAAAGAGCCAGTACGTTCAGGAATTTTTCAATTTACCCATTAACCTTCAGAGATCGCTATTTTCCCCAGATTGCTATATTCCTCCTAGTAGAGAAAGAAAAAAAAAAAAAAATCCCAAGCAACCACAAGTAGAATTTTCAGTTCACCCCAAAATTGCTATTTTCCCTCATCGTGAGCTCCTAAATCTGAACCTTGCGTTGCAGTTGGACTTTTCCCTATTTGGGGGCGTGCTTTTCTTTACTTCGCAACAATCTCTTTGGGCTCATTGAATCCTGCCGGGCTGAGGGCAGGAGGAGCTGGCGATGCCGTTTCCCGGCGCAGCCCCGCGGTGAGTCCGGCCGGGTTTGCCCTGCCAGGCCGTGACTCAGCGCGATCCGCGTCCCACACGGCTCCGCAGCGCCGGGAGCCGCCCAGCCATCCCTGCGGCTGCACACGGCCGAGGGGCAGCTCCGAGCTGCGGGCCGCGGCTGGTAAAGTATTTTATTGCGTTTTTAGCGTTTTCACACAGACACGGCTGGCACAAAGGACTGCGAGCCTGAAGACAGGCCTGACTGCGGAATCACCAAACTGCTTAAACGCTGCGTTTGGAGTTCATTGGAAGGAATTAATTGGCGGTTGGGACTAATTGGTGATTTCCGCACTACTACACGCGTTTGATGAGGCAACAGAGGAGAGCAGGCCCGCAGATCTGCAGTTGCCTCTGAACTCGCCCTCCATGCTTGAACTCCTCCATGAGTTTGGCTTACAAAGCCGTGAAGATTTGGGTAAAGACGCCCAGCATGTGCGGTGGGGCGGCACAGGAGGGCAGGAACACCGCCCCGCTCCCCTCGGAGCAGCCGCCACGGCCGCGGCACCGCCTCAGCGGCGTGGTGCGGGGGCGGGGCCTCGCCTGGGTCTCCCGCCCAGCCGGCGTTTACGCCGTGCGTCTGACGTCACAGCGCACAGACGCCGCGAGAACGAGGGAGAAGGAGGAAGCAGCTTCTCCGCGCTCTCAGCCGCCATTTTGTCTGTGCGCGCAGGGCGGACACGGAGCTCGCTCGCTTTCTGTTCCAGTTGTAAGTGGTGAGGGCCGCCCTTCTTCGTTCTCTTTTCACCTTCGCTTTTTTTCCTCTTTCTTTTCTGTTTCCAGCGGGAACAAAGCAGCGGGGAAACGGAGGGGAGGCAGGGTGGGGGGTGGGGTGGCAGAGCTGTTGCGTTGTCTCCGCGGCGCGGGGCGCATCAGGCGCTGCTTCAGGAGGTGTTGAGGGGGGAGGAGAATTCTCGGCACAGGAGCTCCGTCGAGGTCTCTGCGGAGGGCTGGGGCCGTGCCTGGCGCCCGCCCAGGTGGCAGCGGGGACCGGCCCTTCCTCCCCCGCCGGCCCCGGAGAGCTCCGGGGGAACGCGGCGTGGAAATGGGCTCGGTGCCCCGGCTTGGGCCGGCGGGTGTCCCCTCCGGGATCTGCCGTGTCGGGACTTTGGCCATCCCGAAGGAATAAGCCTTTGACCTCCTCCGGCTGCCAAGATTTTGAGGAGAGGCATTTAGAAATTGCTGTGTAGGCAGCTTACGGCGCGGCTTTTGTGGCCCTTGTGTGTATGGGTCTGTTCGAGAGGGGAACGGCTCCTGCCGGAGGAGCCTTATGGCAAATGTGGGAGTGAAAACTGCCTGCGATATGGATTAGTTCCACATGCTACAGGAATGCATATGTTCGTGGCAGCTGTCAGTATTACATAAGTGAAGTTCTTCGGTGCATTAAATCAGATGGAGCACCGTAGTTAAAAAATTTTAAGGTGGCTTCTAGCGTAAAATGGACTCAGACCGATTCTGACCATTTCCTCCTCATTTAAATGTACTTGGCTCCTTTAGGGCCAAAATTTGTAATTTTTGTCTTAATTTCACTAAAGCTATGTGCATTTGGTTGTAGTTTAGCAGCAGTTACTCTTCGAGCATTTTCTCCAGCTTCCTGTGTCAAATATCCATCCTTCCTGCCCCCAAGCCCTGCTCTGCAGGACAGTTTAATGGTGATTTTATTTAGATAGTTGTTAATTACAGAGCTTTAGTGCACCCCGCCTTCCTCCAAGTAGGGGAAGAAAATCCCAAGCAACCATAAGTAGAATTTTCAGTTCACCTGGAACTGAGTGTGTCTATTTGGAGCTGTGCGCCTCAAGAGTAACTGAAACCTGAGTGTGCTTCAGAGCCTGAGTTATGTAAGGTGAAAATACAGGAAAATGGCTTTGGAGCTGTGTAAGAAGAGAGGAAATTAAAGCACGTGAATGAAACAGCAAGTCGGTGTTAATTTTTCAGATGGTTTTGTTAGTCATTTGCTACATTAGTATTTTTGGATTTTGTTAGAAACTCACAAGTACGATTTTTTTGTAAATCATGCCTCACCCAAAATGTGTACAAGGCACTTATTTTGCACAGTTTGTTAATATGTTTTTGATTTTTAAAACATTATTGCAGATATCTGGTTTTGTTTTTTTTTTTCTTTAATTATCAGCCTCTCACGGATCCTGAAAGTATCAAAAAACCCTTTTCTTTCAGAATAGGCCTGTCATTTGCATGTTCTAGGAGTTTCCAACTTCCTGCCTTCTCTTTGTATAGAAGCATTGTTCTCTGTAAATTTACACTGATTTGCACAATTTACACATGATTTACAGTCATGATTTTTCTGCTCTATTGCTGTCATTGTCTCTAAACTAATGTTCTCACTGTCACTGCTAACTGCAGAAACTTTTTATTATCTTGCATGAATTCATTCTTTGGAATATACTGCAATAGATATAGAAGGTTATTCCTACTTTGAAAAAACCTCCTGCTGCAGATGAGTAAACAAATAACAGTTGGTTTTGTTACATTCTTTAATTCTACAGCCGTGTTTTACTTTGCCTTTTTTTTTTTTTTTTCAGTTGTGCATGTACCTGTTTGAACAAAGAATTCCTGCACCTAACATCCAGCAACAGAAGCTGGTGGGTTTTGTCTTTGGCAAATCAGCTGAGCTGTAGAACACCCGCAGTCCTGCATGCTCATAGGGTGCAAAAGTTGTGACTTGGCTCCAGGGGCTCCAAAGTTGTGTTAATCCATCAGAGTTCACAGTGGTTGTTGCTAAAAGTGACTGTTTCCTAGTGTTCTGTAAATAGTTTAGTGAGAGAAGTTTTTAGACTGATTGTGTATTCTTGATTTTCATGTAGTAACTTTACAGTGCAGTAGGAAGACCTAAATCCAGGTTTTCTTTTTAGAGGATGTTTGGAGAGGAAGGTTTCTTCCAATAGGAGGCTCTTTAAGGATACTATTGTGCTTAGTCACTTGAGAGTTTATTTAAAACAGGCTTTAATGACACGTTTGAAGCTATTAAATGGAGATGAGTTGGCCTATTTAATCTTGATTTGTGTTTCATAACAGCGTTAGTGTTGGGATGGGGGAGCTGTGTCTGCTTGCCAAACCGAAATAATGGGGGGAGGGAGCTGAGGAAAAATGGGCCCTTTCAGTTCTGTCAGACTCGATCAAACTGCCATTGTTGACTTGAACCTACATGTGTGTTCGTTGATTTTTTAAAATTATTATGATTGTATTTTGCAGTGGGAGATGAGGCATTCAAAGCAATCTCATTGCCCTGAGTGGGACGACAGGAGGAGCTGGGATCAGAGGAAGCACAGCAGCAGCCGCAAGCGCAGAAAGAGGTCCCACAGCAGTGGCCAAGAGAGCAAGCACTATAAACCCAGTCGCATTTCAGAAAGGTATTACACTCTGAACTGAGTAGTGCAAATGTTTCTAACCATGTCTAAGTTAAATGTGTTTTCAGGGTAGGAGTTTTTGAATGCCCAGAGTTGTCAGTTCCTCATGGTTTGGCTCACTTAAGACAAGCCTGATAGGTAGTTGTTAACACAGCCCCTGAACTATTAAATAGAAATTGTTGAATAAAAGCAAGTAAATGTTACTAGTTTGTCTCAGTGGTGTCAGTTAAATTTTGGTATTGAATACAATCAATATTAACCTTCAAGTGAAAAGGATGCCTTTTAATGTGAACAAAAGGAGGAGAAGGTTTGTTTAATCATTTAATACAGTGGTAAGTATGAATTTATCTTACTAATTTGGAAGTGATTTATGTTTTCTCGCATACTGCTTTCACTGGAAAGATGTATTTTCTCTGTTTTGTCTTGGGTTTTTGTTTTGGTTTTTTTTTCCCTTGAAAAGATCCAAAGGAATTCTTTTAAAAGCTCATACTCATGCTTATTAAAATGCTGGAAGGAGTAGGCGTACAGCAGTCAGGGAACTGTGCATCAGCAGCTTTCTTAATGGTCTGTTTTCTCTGCAAAAGATCCTTGTTCCAGATCCTCTGAGGTTTTAGTGTTGGTTGCAGAGCACTTAGAACCTTGCTACTTCTCAGTCTCTAGGTTTTATTTAAATCTGGAGCTTTGAAAGTGCAGAAGGGATGATTTCTGTATTGAAGGTAGTTTCTCATGTGACTTTTAAGGTTGTAATGAAGTTGCTCAGTATATTTTAGGAAGTGTTTCTCCTTTTTAAGTCTGAGTTTCTTACTATGCAAACTGTGGTCAGATATTACATTGTTCATGTGGATGGCTGCCATGTATTTGAGACTGACAATGTTGTTAAATTCCTAATAAAGTAACATCAAAAGCTCCACTATTTTTGGGGAGGGAGTCAATTAAAAAACATTTGTGCTGTAAAGACAGATACTGTGTAACTCAGCTCAGGTCACTTATCTTGTTGGAACCTCAAGTTTTTGAAGTGGAGAACATTCACTTAAAATATATTTTCAGTCATTATTTGGACGATAGAGCCATAAATGAAAGAGACCATCATGACCGGAGATATGTTGAGGAGTACAGAAATGACTTCTGTGAAGTGTATGACCACAGGCATTATCACAGAGACTATGAAAAGAGTCACCATCATCACTATAGCAAATCCTCTGGTCGGAGCAGGAAAAGTAGTCATAAAAGGAAGCATAAGAGACATCATTGCTCCAGTCACCAATCGCATTCGGTATGAGTAATTTTTAACTTTATTATTAATGAATTAGTGGTAATAGACTTCTTAAATGAGTGCTAGAGCTGCAATTCCTGATCCACGGTACTTTAAGAAATACATTATTAAAAAGGATTTGTATTTATTTGAGTCTGTTTGTGGAGCATGTGAATATGTTGTTGGTTGAGATTCTTGGATCGTTGTTGGGTGGGGGGTGGGATCATCAGTACTAGCTGTACCTTGGGAATGTAGGTGGTTGGTAGTCAAAATGACTGGGATTGATCTGAAAAATGTTATCTTGAAATTGAAGACACGCAGCTCTCCTCTTTTAAAGTACAGTTGTCACTTAGTTTTGCAGCGTTGAGCTCTGGTTTTTTAGGTAGACTGTGAGGTTCTATCCACCCTATTGCTAAAAGAAATTGAGATGACATGCTTTTTTAACATGAATTACAAGTATGAATGTGCATGTCTGGTAAATGGATGTGAACAATTTTGCATCTAATTGCAGAAAGCTTTGATAAACCCTGTGCCCAGCTAATGGCACCTAATGTCTTATGAGATGGGATAAGTTTGCTGCTTGCCTTCTTTGAAGGTGTGCTCTCTGAATTTCTCATGATTGTCATGATGCCCACTGATGCATCTGCAGTTCCAGGTGTTTTATACCACTTTTCTGCAGTAGAACAGCAAGGTGTATTAGATGATATAATGCAAATTAAGGACTTCAGAGTAATTTTTCTCCCCTTTCTAAACATGGGGGAAGTAAAATTGTTTACATGAGTGGATGTTTTAAGAGTAGAAACATTTCACCTGACTGAGAGCTTAGGTATGTACATAAATACTGGTTTTTGCTATTTGCTAGCAAAGAATTAGAAATAGCAGTGTTGCAGTCTTAATCTGTCTTCAATTAAGCCACTGTTTGAGAGACAAAATTGTGTTGTTTTTTTTTTCTGTTGCTTGTATCACTTTAAGTATTTATCTGAAAATCTGTTCCTTGCCATGTTTTTCTTCTGTAACATAAACTGTGCCCTGTGAATTTCTGGGGACTGAATTTGAAATTGCTCCTGCCAACTGTTCGTGGCCTGGTGTGTAACTGAATGCCTGAATATCTCCCCGCTGAATGAATTGCGTATTCTGCCCTGAATTCACTCTGATATATTGATTGGCTGGACGATCTTGGTGCCGTTTCCAGAAGAGTCACCGAAGGAAAAGATCCAGGAGTGTAGAGGATGATGAGGAGGGTCACCTGATCTGTGAAAGTGGAGACGTTCTAAGAGCAAGATGTATAGAACATTTTTCAACACTTTTAAAAAACTTTTCAGAAAAAAATCTGTTTAGAATAGTATGTCAGAGGAGGGGGGCTAAAGAAATCTCATTGCTCTTTTTGTTCTGTTTTTTTTTGTGCTTTTTTGTTTTTTTGCATATCTTCTTTTCTGTAGAATTTAAATACTGTGTTCAAAAAGTTCCAATTAGTAAATGAACTTGAGATTAGAACAAGAGATAGTTTTTTGGCTAACTGTTTTCATGACTCCTGTCCAATAAAATAATGCATTCTGATGCTGAAATTTAAAGTAATTATGCTTTTGTAATGGCACATTTTAAAATCTACATTAATATGTTCATTCTCGTTTAAGTAGTTATATAATTCTAACTTATCTTTGTTCTTTTTAGATGAAATTGTTGCGACTTTAGGAGAAGGAGCTTTTGGAAAAGTAGTGGAGTGCATAGATCATGATATGTAAGTGTTGGGTTATCTTTATCAGTGGATCTCGTGATAAAAGATATCTAGATCAGAAATTAAAGCTCGAGGACATTTTATTTAAGAGAAAGTCACAGCCCAAGTGCGCTTTTAATGATTGAGGTTGTTGTTTTGTTTCATTTTTCTGTTTCTGTTAAGTCCTGCTGCTGTAACTGGAGAATGTGAGAGCAGCTGAAGAGTGCAGAACTAGTTTGGGAGGCCTTTAAAGGTGGTACAGTGACATACTGAGAAAGTAGTTTTGGTTCTTAGTGGAAGCAGTTTCTGGAAAGCCGTTACTTGGAACTGCTTGAGCTGTCAATTGCTGTCCTCAGTTTTCATAATCAAAATTATCCTTTAAGGTTTTTTTGAATCAACAGTAACCTAGTATTGAGTACTTTTTTAATTAAATGATTGCTTCCATGTGGAGAGCATGTCTGGTGAAGTAGAAGAAACTTAACTGTATTTCCATTAATTCTGTATGTTCCAACTGTTGTTAGAACTCAGACTATTCTAACTGTATGTTTTATATCACCAGTTGTATGACATGGTTTTAGTACTTTTTCCTCTACCTTTGGTTTGTTTGTTCTGTCTTTTCATAAGTAAAGACTGTTCTGGAGTTTGAGGTCATATTGTGAGGGCAGAGAGTGTTCTGAAGTTGTTAGAATTGAAAGAGCTCTACAGAGACAAATTGTCTAAGAGCAAATGGGACAGAAGGAGCTGTGTCTGTGTTCCATTTAAATAACAGCCTTACAGTCTGAATGCGTGCAGGCATTCAGTGCAGGGCAGTTTTCACTGGTATAAACTGCTCATAATCCAAACTCCTGAAATTACTCAATTCCCCTGATTCCATAAGAACACTGGAAAAGAGCCAGCACAAGTTGTGCAAGTAGCAGGAAAAAAAACCTGTCAAATTTTTGTAGTATTTTTTTTTCAAATGAGAACTTTGTTAATTTTTTAATCATTCTGCTGGCAGATTCCTAATGTTTATTCTACTTCAGATGAGATAATAACACTGAGAAGTCATTAATAAAGCATATACTATAAGTATTTGAGAAAGGAAAGATCAGGATTACTTTTTTTTTTTATAAAAACTGTTCTGGTTGAGTGCAGTGTGCTTAAATCAAATTCCCCTAATCCAACTCATAATTCTCCATGACCTTTAATCTTCCTGTGTTTCTTTTATTAAAATCAAGCTGCTTTGGGGCTGTGGGTATTTAACAATAATTGATTCAGTTTGCTATGCATTACTTTCTTTTCAAGGAGAGGAATGCATGTAGCAGTTAAAATAGTGAAAAATGTTGGTCGATACCGGGAGGCAGCCCGTTCAGAAATACAGGTGTTGGAACACTTGAACAACATGGATCCAAGCAGCAATTTGTAAGTATGAAATCTGAGTAGGCAGCATACCAAGGATTTGAGGAAGGTGATTCATTCAATAGTTTTTAATTTGTTTTTTTTTTGTTTTCTCTTTCAAGCCGCTGTGTCCAGATGCTGGAGTGGTTTGATCACCATGGCCATGTCTGTATTGTTTTTGAGCTACTGGGACTCAGTACTTATGACTTTATTAAGGAAAACAGCTTTCTGCCTTTTCATATTAATGACATTAGAAACATGGCCTATCAAATTTGTCAGTCTATAAACTGTAAGTAAATTTCAATACTCCTTTCAAATATATGGGTGTGTTTTGGTTTCTCCATGAATTTAATGTGTAAATTATGGAATACTGTTCTCTTTTTCCTTGTAGTTCTACACCATAATAAACTAACTCACACAGATTTAAAGCCTGAAAATATCTTGTTTGTGGAGTCTGATTACATAGTGAAGTACAATGCCAAAATGGTAAGTTTGTTCTTTGTTTCTCCCCACTTGAGTTGCACTATTTCTGTCTTCATTGAAACTTGTCTTAAAAAAAAGAGACAACAAGTAACTGAAGTTAAAGGTTAACAAAAGAGGAAAAGAACTCTTGTTACTGCAAATGGTCTTTACTCAACTGTTTTGGGTACTGAGATTAAATCACTTTGTTGCCTGCTCTTCTTTCTTGGAGCATTGAGCTGCACAGGAATTAAAGTATTAGGAGGAAGTGCTTTGTTACACATTTTGACAAGTAACTGAAGTTAAAGTAAGGTTAACAAAAGAGGAAAAGAACTCTTGTTACTGCAAATGGTCTTTACTCAACTGTTTTGGGTACTGAGATTAAATCACTTTGTTGCCTGCTCTTCTTTCTTGGAGCATTGAGCTGCACAGGAATTAAAGTATTTGGAGGAAGTGCTTTGTTACACATTTTATGCTAGCTGGTACTTTGAAGCTAATGTGATAATGCCTTTTGCCTAAGCATGCTTTTAAAAAGTATTAACAGCGTTTTGGTTTCTTGCAGAAACGAGATGAGCGCACTTTAAAAAACACAGACATCAAAGTTGTTGATTTTGGAAGTGCGACTTTTGATGATGAGCATCATAGCACATTAGTGTCTACGAGACATTATAGAGCTCCTGAGGTTATTTTAGGTCAGTAAAGACTCTTAAACCTTCTGAAAGTTCATTGCAGTTCATTCGGATGTCTTTACTTCATAAACTGGAGTAGTTATGCATGGTTCTGGTAATCGGTTGTCTCTCAGGTGGTGGGGGTACAATTATTGAGAGTAAACAGTAAAAGTACTCTAAAACCAGAAACAAGCAGCAGGGTTTGAGGAGGGCATGGGGAATAAGTTGGGCATCAGTAAATGTGTGGAAACTGGGCATGTGCTTTGTGGGTTACACATTTTGAGAACATATTAAAAAGTAAAACAAACTTTGCCTATTTTGCAGCATTGGGATGGTCTCAGCCCTGTGATGTGTGGAGTATTGGTTGTATTCTGATTGAATATTACCTGGGATTTACAGTGTTTCAGGTGTGTATGTGAGCTTAAATAGAATGTGGTTCTTAGAGACTACTGATTTTAATCTTTTAATGACATGCACTTAACTGTGTAAAAGGCAGAACCCGTGGGCTTTTAAGGATTATATAGATGAGACTGGAAAACCAGCATCCATACAGAAAAACATTACATCTTGGATATCTCCTTCAGAGTATCTAAGATGACCTTTTCTGGCATTTTGAGTGAAGAAGACTGTCATGATACTGCTGGAATTAAGAGTAAAGAAAGCACTTGTACAATACTTGGTTTATGAACCGTTGTTCAAGGGTCATCCTCACTGTGGAAAGTGTTATATAATCTACATTGCATAATCTGTTTTTAATAATTGAAAGTGGCAGAGTTTAAAGATATTGTGACAGGGGTCTGGCAAAAGCTTGTTGCAGTTTGATTGTTGTTACCAAGTGGCTCAGAGGAGAAAAATGTGCTAAGCGCTTTCATTGCTTTTTCCACACAGACTCATGATAGTAAAGAACACCTGGCTATGATGGAAAGAATACTGGGGCCTCTGCCCACTCACATGATCAAGAAATCCAGGTATGTTCATTGTGGAAGTGGTAAGTTGCCTAATATTTTCTCTTACAAGAGAAATTGCAAAGTTGCCAATGTAAACTGTGAGTTGCTGCAGATCAACAGAGATTCATAGGCAACCTTAAGTAGTTGACAGTAGTCCTCTCTTTTCTGATTTCTGATACAGCCTCTTGAACTGTAACTTGAGTATGAATATTTCTAAGTTTTTAAAGCTAAGTTTGGTATGGTCACCAGAACAGTACAAGACATAATTTTTTCTTTAAAGTCTCAGAATGAAAAACATGTTGTTATCACAATAATTACTGCAAGGAAGAGGAGGGTGCTTGCTTGCTAATACAGCTGTCATTCTCTTGTACTGCCCCTCCATATCCCCAGACATGTGCTTCAGTGATCTTTCTGTCTTCCTCAAAGATAACTCCATGCAGCAGGAGTTTCTCACTTCCACGGCAAGGAGAAGCAGCCAGCACAGGGTTCTCCCCTGACCCCTCTATAGCCAAAATTTACAGCTCCTGGGATCTGATGGTCCATTTTCTTTCTTACATAAGCTGTCCTCTTGCCAGCTCATGTAGATAATTCTGTAACTCATGTTAGAGTAGAATTCCAATAATTCTGGGTTGGGTAATGTATATTGTATGTTATGGTTGTCCAGTAGATTATAATATTATAGTGCATTTTGAAAAACAGGAAAAAGCTTGGAAAGCAGTAATTGCAATAGATTCAAGTAATACTAAAAAAAAAAAAAAGCTACTGTGTTCTAGTTATTGTGGCAGCAATAATAAAAACCCAGCAGATCTCTGAGTAAATGCACACTAAAAGAAATGTTAGCTCCCAAATGCAGATACATGCAAGAGTACTTAATGGTGTTTTAGAGCTTCTTGGTAAAGCATCTGCTTGCTGTGTGCACTCACACCAACTTGCTGTTATTTCCCTTGTCCTGCAGAAAACATTATTTTCACCATGACCAGTTGGACTGGGATGAGCACAGCTCTGCAGGCCGGTACGTCAGGAGACGCTGTAAGCCTCTGAAGGTAGGAGACAGCATTTTTATTGCTCTGCTAGACTGCAGTTGTGAAAGCTCTCTCTAAAATACCTCCTGGTTTTTTTTCTTTCAGGAATTCATGCATTGCCAAGACACAGATCATCAAAGTCTGTTTGACCTTGTTCGCAGAATGCTGGAATATGACCCAGCCAAAAGAATTACTCTTGATGAAGCCTTGCAGCATCCTTTTTTTGATCCATTAAATAAATAAATTCAATGATCTTCTATGCTTCTTCAAGGAGATTTCCTAGACTGTGTCAGTCAGTCAGCAGAGGTTGCATGAAACTTTTGTAAGCTTTAAATTATTTTGTACAGTTAAGTCTGTAAATAATTACATATGTTTTGTATAACTGTTATGTTTACCTTGTTGAGCAGTTGTAGTCTTATGGGTATCAAAGTGAAAAATAAAAGTAATTTTCATTTTTGAAAGTCTGCACCACTCTCCTTTTACAGATGATGCTAGTGGACCCCCTGACTGTAGGTGAGGACTTTTGGGCTAGCTGAAGGAGTTCTGGAAATATTCTCTAAAACTTCCTTTTGTTAGTCTTGAAGAAAAGATCCACCTAGTTATGCTGTGTGTGACAGTTTGATGGCATTTTGAAACACGGTTGGGAACAGTGTATATGCTAAGTAGGTAGCTTTTGTGGGTCACCTTTTTCCCAGATTTTCTGTTACATAGCGTGCCTTGCTCCCCAGGTAGCTAATTAACTCTTGGAAACTTGTCTGATGCCTTCAATTTCAAGTATTCATAGCTAACGTTTTTAGTTAAGATCTGTAAAGTAACATTTCCTATTTTCAATATTGTTCCTAGTCATTAAAGATGAACATATTTTCATAAGTTTTTAGAAAGATTGTATTCCTGCAGAGAAATATGGCATAAAGTAACATTTCCTATTTTCAATATTGTTCCTAGTCATTAAAGATGAACATTTTCATAAGTTTTTAGAAATACTGTATTCCTGCAGAGAAATATGGCGTGCCACAGAATTGTGGCATATTTAAGCTCTTGCAGTAGTGACATCATTCTGAAATCTTTGATGTGTATTTCTGTGGAGCTTTATTTGTAGTTACCGGTAAATTAAGTGGCCTTGGGAACTGAGAAGTGCTGGCACTGAGACTGTACAGGATGGAGGCAGCTGGGTTCTCAACTGTGGCTGTGAGCTCTGGTACTGAGTTGAGAAGAAAATGGTGCAACTTTCAAGTCCCATTAATGTACTTCAGTAGTTTTGGGGTTTCCACATCTATAAGTTGGTGGTTTTTACTCCAACTCCCTTAATCCATTTGACAGTGTATGGGTAGCTTGCTGAGCAGTAGGAAGGGAGCCTTCCATGGAAAAGTTCCTTCTGACTGTAATAAGGAAGTTTGGGCAATTTATTTTAATCTTTACTGCACAAGTCTTTCTTCAAAGGAAGGAAACGAAATTGTTTTGGCTCCACAGGAGCCTGACTTCAGGTTTTGTGCTTGCTGAGTTAGCCCTAATACACAGTAAGGTTTTAACCTGATGTTGAGGAGGCTTCATTTGCAAGAGGCTCCAGACGTGCATATCTCTGAGCTGGGGGTACAATAGAGCTGGGCCAGGCTTTGAAAGCTTATCTTCTGTTACTAGTGCCACCTCCTGGGCTTGGTTACAGCTCATCACAGCCACCTCCTTTCCTTGGATGTTGGTGTTGATGACATTGTTTCTGCTTGGCATGACAGAAAATGTAACAGTCTGTGCTATGCAGGTCAGCTCAGTAGGGCTGAGCAGGACAAGAATAAATTCCTTCACTTCTTCCCACAGAACTTTCAATCCCACAGCTTCAGAGGCAAAGCAAGGACTTGGCTGAGTATATCAGCTAAGCAATGCAAATCAAAGGCAGATGGGGGGAGAAAAGTTTATATGCTGCTATAACAATAAAACTGTAACCATAAAACAGTTCTATCTGGGAAATTAGGGAAAGATGGTGGGCTCTTGCTTACAGAGTGCTTCTAGCTGTTGATGTAGGTACTGAAATTTGTTGTGCTGGGTAAAGGAGATATAGCTTAGCCCTGTTATAAAGCCATCTTTAAATTTACTTTTCTTCCAGTAAATTTAAAAGTGCTGTCAGGATTAATGTGACACCTGCCGCAAAGTACCAGGGGCTTTTGCAGGCCTCGTAGCACCTACAGCAGTGTTGGTCTGCTGGCACACGAGCCCAAGGCCCCTGAGTTCCCCAGGGAAGCTGTGTGGGGCTCTGGGCAGCACTCGGGCAGGGTCTGGTGCTGCAGGGCTGCCCTTGGTGCTTCTGGCTTTAGCAGGGGATGGATTTTATGTGCACACACCACCACCCCCATTCTCTTCTTCATATTTGAAGTTTAATCTTTGCATGTTTGGCTCAAGCTATAGCTGTTAAATAATTAGAAGAGCATTCCCATCTATTTCTACACTTCAGATTTCCACCTATTGTACATTCACAATATGGTCTGTGACTGGGTCAGCCAGGCAGACCGGACTAACAGTGCATTTCCACAGTGCCCCAGTCACACTTTTTACTAAACAAAGAGGACAAGCCAGAGTAAAACTGTCTTTTAAGTGGACAGCCCAGGCTTCATCACACTGAAGTGTGTGAGATCTAGGGCTCTGGAACCTGAGGGAAGAGTTGAGCTCAGGGCTAAACTGCATGGGAGCGGCATTTGGATTTCTGGGGCAGGAGCTCATCTGCTGCAGGAGTGATCAGTCCTGCCTGTTCCTTCAGTGTCTGGATATCAGGGCTGCCTGGAGGACTCAGGTCACACAGGACCAGATGCTTTGCATCCGAGCATCTCCCCAAGATGATGGCACTGTGTGTGTTCTACTGCTCTCATGGAGCTTCTAAGGAAAGTCTTGGCATGCTCATACAAATGAGAGGGGGGAAAGGAGGTAAGAAAGAGGGTCTCACAGAAACAGTTTTCTTTTTATCTTCCAGATATGTGAGAAAGCAGAAACTGGTTCTCAGCACATGCTATGGATTTACCTCGTTTAACTGCTTTGCAAATAGCTACAAGAAGCCAGTTTCTATCCCTGTGTGTTTTATTAACACACTTAATTAGAAGCTGACATTGGTAATGTTACTGACATTGTAGCATTTCCTAACTGTCCTAGGCTTCAATAATCTATTCTAGAATTAAGAATTACTCCTTGAAGGGCAAGTGTGTGTGTCCAGGGGGCAAAGGGTACACTGAAATTTGTATGCCATGTGCATAGAATCTATACAAGAATTAAGCTGCAGGAGGATGTTTTATAGGTGAGTTGTGATACTCTGTGTAAGAGCAAGGAGGAGGGATGACAGACTACGTGGATGCTTGGAGCTTATGCGTGAGCAGTTTTCTATCGTTCAAAAGCTCACGAAAGTGGATGAAGCACTCCGCTGAGATAACAGTGAGTTACAGTGCATGGTGGGGTTCTTCTCTAAAACAGATCGCGGTGCAGACGGGCAGTAGGGCAGAAGGTACAAAGCTCCCGGGCGGGTGACGCCTCTCGCAGGTCGCACGCTCCAGGGGAGCCGGGGCCGGGCGCAGCCGCCGCCCGCCCGCTCTCCCGGGCAGCGGCGCCGCCGGCGCGGCGGGCACCGCCACCTCCGCGCTGTGCCTGCTGCTCTCGCTCACCGCCGTGGCCGTGTGCCTGCTGCTGGGCGCCAAGACGGCGGAGCTGCAGGGCCGGCTGGCCGCGCTGGAGGAGCGGGGCGCCGCCGGCCACGGGCCGCTGCTGGACGCGCTGCAGCCCCGCGTGGAGCAGCTGTTCCGCGAGGTGAGTGAGACGCGGCCCCGCGGGCGACAGGGTCGGGGAAGGCGTTCCGGCCCCGCTCCGCCGTAGGGTTCGCTCCATGTGTCACCGGCTTCTCATCCTCTGTGAGAAAACTTACTCCCTTCTACCAAACTTTCCCCTTTTTGCTGCCGTTCCCATGAATCAGGCGTAGGGCGAGGCGTGGCAGAGCCCACCTTGATTAGCCCAGGCGAAGGTTAGAGGACGCGCGACTTTCCCCTTATTCTATTCACTGACACAGGTAATCCGAGTACTTCAACTATTTGTCTTGGGATTTAATGGACCATAATTTCCTTGTTAGAAATTATGAACATGATCCCCGCTATCTGGACTCTCTGTCATAGACTATTGTGGTCTGGCAGTGCAGAAGTGATTTATGGCAGGCAGAGGAGACCCGCCACTTGTTACTTCACTTTCAGTCCTGGGGTTTTCTGAAATTATTCAATAAATATTTCTGTGCTGAACAATTCCGCCTACTTGGAGAACTATTATCCACATTGATGCCCTTCTCAGTGCCTGACTAAACCAAATCTCTGGGAGAAGTTACACTTTATCCCAGGGTTATCTTTTTCCCGATTCTGGTGTTTAGGTTTGGGGCTTTTTACAGGCAAGGGGGACGTGAAGGGCTCCATCACTCATAGGAAATGCTTGAAGATCCCACTGTTGGTCACTGGATTTGTATAAACATAGGTTCATAAAGTTCAGCAAGATTCAACACGGCTTGTGGGGCTGCTGAGGGGCACCCCTGAGTGATCAGTTCTGACATCTGGGAAAAGTTTTACACCAGGATTTTATTAATGGCCTGACTGCGGTGCAAAACATGCATTTAAACCCTGACAGCCACAAAGCCTAAATCACGCAAAAATGTGTGTGTGAAGCTCTGTGAAAGCTCTGGGGCTGTGAGCAGGGACAGAGGCAGTGCTGGGGGCATGAGACAATTCCTCATGCCTTGTGTTGCTGTCGGAGCTAGGGTGAGGGTATTGCTGGCACCACCACAGCATGTCCTTTTGCCTGGAAACTTGGTTGCATTGATGTGCCTCGATAAAAGTGAAATGTTAAAATATTTTTGTGAAAACCCTGAATACCAGACCAGGGGGGGTGCCTGTGAGGCACAGTCACAGCCTCTAGTTAATGTCTGTTCTCCAGGCAGGAATTAGCCTGCCGGTTGTGGCAGTGGTTCTGTTCCAATTACCCCAATAAATGTGCTTAGCAATGGGAATGGTTTCTGTGGCACTGCCTAAGATCATGTGCAACCTCTTGCTGAGATTTAGTTAAGTGTGGAAAGCTTGTTTTGTACTGGGAATGCTCAGATGGAGTTTGTACAGGGGAAAATAAAGCAAAACCACATAATTGGGTTTCTAATGGAAGAGTGAGCTTGTTGAAACATTTAGTATGACCAAACTTTTGTCAACGCTAAAGCAAATTTTGAATCAAGCAACATATTCGAGGAATCCATAGTAGTAATTGCACTATCTATTAATGGTCATTTTAAATAAACCTCTTAATTTATGGTAAAGTTTCAGAAAGTGTTTCTTGCCCAAACTCTGTTACATAAGACCGCTCACTTGTCAAGGAACTGCTGCCCTTTCTGTGCTTGAGAGTTTCTGGAGAGTGAGAGAGTATTTCCATCGTCATGAACATCAACTGATGCCTGGGGTCAGTTTTTTTGTTAAATTCTGTGCTGGTCCTCCTTTGAAGTTTACCACAGTATTTCAGAAGTGAAACCAAAGCTCCATACGCTCTCTGTGCATGACCCAGCATCCTTTGTTCTCTGCCACGACCCAAAAAGCTTTACTCCATGTACCAATGGAGGGGTTTGCTGGCATAATTTATGGCAGAGCTGTGTATAGACAGCAGCAAATACAACACCAACACACTGGCTCTGTTCCTTTTAGTGCTGTTTAAATGTTTGGCAAGTAAGAGAGGATAGGAAATAATAAAGGAAGGGTAAGTGTGTAGTTAAGGTAATGAAAGCCAATTTGCACAACAAGAATTTAGTTTCTGGCTCTCTGACAGGCATGCGTGTAACTCTGGAGAAATTGCTGATTTGACTGTGGCAGGACCTTGCCCTTCCCTTGCCTTTCCCATTAGTGGGACGTGCTGCAGGCTCCTGCTTTGGTGCCCTCTGAGACATCGCCAACAGCACGGTCCAGACGTGGCAGCATCTCCACTTGCTCTGTGTCAAAAGCCCCAACTCCAAGTGTGTAGTTTTCACACTGGAGGGAAAATATTAACAGGAGGATTATAGAAACATCCAGTTGTTGTAAACAAAGCCGGACCATTTTGTTCACAAAGGATTTATTGTCCGCAGTGTCCAGATTAATCAGTTTCATGACAAGAACAATTCAATGGGAGAACAGAGGACTCGCTCCAGGATTCAGATCTCTGCTGTTCTCAGTGATGCCTGCTGAACTAAAAATGTGGGAGAGCTTGTTTTCATTTCCTTGAGCATCTTCATCATTGAAATTACTTTAAAAGTAAACAGATAGAACTTGAGCAGCTCTGTAACATTTAGACTGCAGGTGGCTGTCAGAAAAATCTCCTTAGATGTTTTTTTTTGCTGCATTTTCTCAAGGAAAGTGTATGTTTTGCAGAAGGCAGCTGGATTGTTCTGGTATTTATACTTCCCTTAGGACAACTTCTCTGTCAGGTGCTATGAAACCATGTTGATACTTTCAGGACCTCTTAGCGTCACATCCAAGCAGATAGAGGAAGCATAGGATTTCAACAACAGATAAAACTATTTAATCCTCAGAATAAAAAGAAAATAACCTAATTCACAAGTAGCCTAATTCCTGAATAGTCCACAGTGTTCAAATATTTGAAAAGGGACTGGGTCATCAGTTGTACAATATCAAGTCTTAACACCCTAAACTGTAAAAGTACTTTGAATTTTCTCTTTGAAATGTAGGGACTCCAGTTATCAGATTATTAGTTTGTCTTTTGGCAAGTACTTTAGGTAGGACACGGCATTCCTGGAGGACTTGAGAGAGTGAAGATTGTGGGTGAAGATGAGCTGTTCCCACCCTTGCTGGGCTGTCCCAGGCAGGGAGTATGCCTGAGCTAATGTAATGTACCTGTCATCAGGCTCATTAACTTGGGCTTGGCAGGGGGCTAAATGCAGGCATGAACAGTCTGCTTGGCTTAGGAGCAGCCAGAGCGTGCACACATCTGCCTGCAATATGCCACGTAGACACTGCTCTGGTTTCGTGAATTTTTATGTGTTCTGGTTATCTCATTGATGGGCTTTTCACTTTGGGGATGGAAACACTGGGCTTTGGGTAGGCCTGAAGGTGGGTGAGCACTCCAGCCTTGACTGTCCTTTACCTCATCCCTCTGCTAAAGAAACCTCTAACACTCCACAGAGCATGAACTTTAAGTACAAAATCAACCAAATCAGGTCAAGTTTGAACATGGGACTTGGAGCTCGGGATGAATCCTGCAACGGAGCTTTGGGATGTGCAGGAGGAGTGCCTGCCTGCTCCCTCTGAGGGCTGTAGGCTGCCACTTGCCCATAAACATTTAATATTTACGTGCTACTGTGGCACAGGACATCATCCAAGGAGCTGAACATCATGGGATGAAGCCATTACCCCTCCCTGGAGGGAAGCTGGATGGTTTGCGTGTTGGCATGCGTGCACGGTCCGTGTTTAGGTGTAATGAAGTCTCTAAAGGGCTGTTTTCATTCCCCCTCCAAACAGAAACTCGGCGAGGGACTGGCGAAGCTGCGGACGGCGCGAGAGGCTCCCCCAGACTGCGTGTGCCCCCCAGGTAGGTGCCAGGTACCAGCTCAGCCCGGGGCCACCCAGCCACTGAGCTCCTCCTCTCCTGTTTTACATGCTCCTTTCCACGGAGGAAAATGTGTTAAGAAGTGTTTTTCCCCAGCTGAAGCACTCCAACGTCTCCCAGTGCCTTGCTTTGGCCTGTTTACAGATCAAGGAGTTTGAGGTTTGGACAAAAGCGACTTTTGGCTATAAGAATAAAAGAGCGAAGAACTTGACTGGGTTGTGAGCCCCGGGTGTTGGGCCAAAACAATTTAGAAGTAGTAACAAAATCACTGGGGCTTAATGCAAGTGTGATAATTAAAAGCTGCAGCCTCTCTGCCTTTTCGGAGGGCAGGATTTCTTTTGCTGTAGGAAAGCTGTCACCGATTGTTTAAATTTCCTCCCAGAGTTTAATGAACTTCTAAAACCGTCAAAACTTCCTGTTCTGCTGTGGAAGTGCATGCTCCTTAGAAACAATAAACAGCTCAGATTAGTTTGTAAAGGAACCTCATTTATTGAAATGTTCTGTGAAGTGCTCTGCTGTGAGTGGCTTTGAGCTGGGGCACCTCGAGCCTTTATTTTCTTTTTTCTTTTCACAAAAGTAGTGAGAGATGGGTGAAAGATGTGCAGTGCTTTGATGCAGGAGAATTCGCAGTGTTACAAGAGCTTGCGAGCAGCAGAGTTCCATTCTAGTTTTAAAGAAAACAAACAAACAGTAAATGCTACATGGGGATGGCAGAATAGGCAAAGGGGCAGGGTCAATTTCCCCTGCCACCCTGGATACAAATCCTGCCAAAACACGCAGTGTTAGTCCATACTCACAGGAAAAAAAAAAAAAAAAAAAAAAAAAAAAAAAAAAAAAAAAAAAAATTTTTCCCCCTTTTAAAA